AATATGAAGTTCGAACCGGTTTTCGAATCTCAATTCTGCTTGCTGCTTACTTGAGTACTATTGCAAGTATCTTAGTTTGATGATTATATATTGCTGCTAGTAAACTAATTACTTCTCTCCTCTTCTCTTCCTATTGTCTAATTCTACACCCACACATTCACAATTCGTTATCGTTCTCTGTTTGTCACTCCCTCGTTTCCTTTCCTTTCTTGTTGTATAGTATTAAATCAGCTCCATGTCCAAACCACCCTGCCCTTGTTGCAATGGAGCATAGTTACCGGCACCACTAGTGTCCATATCGGCATAGGAGGTTTGAGTACCACCGCGGCGACGTGCCAATTGAGATTGGACTGTGGCTCGAATGCTGTCTTGCTTTTTCCATGCCACAAAGCCGCAACCACCGAGGACACCACACCAGAACACAAAACTAATAAACTTGCCAAAAACGCCCGATGATGACGACTTGGTTACACTGCTCGTTGCTCCCCGTTCTTCTGGTGGAACATACTTGGCAGTCTTGGCGCGCACATTGCAGATTTGACAAAAATCAACGAGGGTTTGGTGGGCTACCTCTCGGAGATATTTTTGGGTATCAAGATCTATGACTGGATATGACCAATCGAATTGTCTTGGATCTTGACCGGTCATTACTCCTACTAGTACGCTAGCAGCCAGATAACTTCCTTGCGCACTAGGATGAGATCCATCGTCGTCGTACAAATTGGCAAACTTACTTCCTCCCTGTTCCGGATCCAAACCCTCTGCCACCAAAGAATCATAAATGGTTTCAAAGGCAAATCCAACCGGGGCTATCAAAGCCTGTCTCTCGGGCTTGGAGATGGCCTTTTGAAACTCCCGATATCCCGACGCAATTCGATATTGATGGTCCGAAAAATTATCGTAAATGCGCGTCATTTCGGCATTGTTGTCGTCAAAGTGAAGACGACCCCAAGTTTGGAAGAGAATGGTTTGAGTGGTGTGTTCAAAGTTACCGAATTTCTGAATTTGATCATCCAATACTTGGACAGCCTTGTTGGATTCAATCCACTCTTCTGTGAATTTCGATTGGTAAAGTCCTGGGACTTCACTTTGTTCTTGCAGTACGACCCAACGGAATTCTTTTTGGCGCAGGCCTTCTTCAAAGCTCTTTTCGGGTTTTGCGTGTTCATTGGAGGCCAATTGATAGGCATAGTGTTGCCAATGGGCAGCAGGAACGTCCCACGTCTGCGTCTGCAAGGGAAGGTTGACACCCGAAGACGAGGACGAGGTGGAATGCTCAATCATATTCTTGACAATGTCCGTCAAGTTGTTGCGTCCAATGTAGGCATTTCCAACCACAAACAAGGCATCACCACCGCCGCCGCCACCACGAGATTCAGGTGGGACGTAGATACCATCCACGTTCTTGTTGAAGCTCCCATAATCGGATGGTGTTTGAAGTTGCCTGTGTACTGGGCTTATTGCCGGGGATCCTTGAGCTGCTTGAAAGAGCAGCAAAGAGAGGACGCTGGAGATAAACATCTTCATAATGTGGCTAGATGATGTGAATGAATTGGCGGTACTGTAGTAGCGATTGAAGACCAGGCAGGGTTAGCAATGATGCTTTTCTTACTGGATGTTCGTTCTGGAACGAAGAACTCCGGGCATACACTGCAATAAATTCGTCGGGTCGCATACAGTACGTGACAATAATCAATCTTGGCGGCGGTCCTAATATCAGCATTGACCAATCCGAATACAGAAAAACTCGACGTGTCAAGTTTTAAAATGTACAGTTCCGGTATTTCATATTATACCGGTACGTGTACCGGTACTTATGTAGGTAGGTAAACTAAGATCGTCGGTTGGTATCACGCGTATCATCCAATACTTCATTCCATCATATATTCCTTTTGTTTCGTCAATTATTCTGATACCCTCACCTTTTACTGATGCTGCTATATCAACTCCATGTCAGCACCAACAGTTTGGGACAGAGGTGCGTACCCAAAGCTGTTGCCGGTGGAACTAACAGTACTGGAGCGACCCCAGGCATTGCGAACCAGCTGCCGTCTCCAGGCCAATCGCAGCCGTTCTCGCTTCACCATTGCCAAGAAACCTCCTCCACCAATCACTCCGCACCAAAATACAAAATGGAGAAACTTGGTAAAAAACGAAGAAGATCTTCTTCGAGCGTCCATGGCAGCTTGTTCTTCCGGTGAAATGTAGGGCATTTTGTTGGGTGTCACATTGCAGGTTTGACAAAAATTGCTAATGGTGGCGTGAGCCACATCACGCAAATACTTTTGGATGTCTTGTGGGACAAGAGGATAGTCCCAATCAAATTGCCGTGGATCTTGTCCCGTCAAGATTCCCACCAACACGCTGGCTGCCAAGTAACTTCCTTGCTCACTGGGATGCGATCCATCTTCAATATATAGATTGGAGAACCTACCGCCCTCTTGTTCGGGATCCAAGCCTTCGGCTTCCATCCCATCGTGAATGGCTTGAAAGGCATAGCCCACGGGGGCAATCAAGACTGGTCGTTCGGGTGTGGAAATGAACTTTTGGTACTCTCGATATCCTACGGCAATTCGATACTGATGATGCAGAAAGCTGTCAAACAAGGCCTGAATCTCTGGTGTGGGATTGTCGTCGTGGTGGAGCCTGCCCCAGGTTTGAAAGAGAATGGTATTCGTAGTACCCTGCGCACTTCCAATATGTCGAATCAAATTGTCGAGTGTCTTGACGGAAGTTTTCGAGTCGCTAAACTCACTTTGATACATTGAATCGTAGAGACCTGGAGTTTCACTTTGTTCTTGCAAGACGACCCAACGATATTCATGAGCATGCAAGGTGGCCGTAAAGTTTGCTGGATCAAAAGTCAAATCCCTCCATTTGGCACCGCCCTTGTCAAAGGTTTCGGTTATCAGCGGTAGATTGACACCCAAAGAGGCGGAAGAGGAGAAGGAGGAGTGGTCTAGCATGTTCTTGATAATATCTGTCAGGTTGTTCGTCGACACATAGGAATTTCCAACCATGAACAAGGCATCGCCAGTAGGACTGGATTCGGAAAAGTAGAAACCATCGTTATTTTTGCTGTTGTTTGAATTGTTGACGTTTTGATATTCACCACTTTTTGACCATCCCATGACTTCACTTGCGAATGCTGTTTGTGCTGATAGTAGCAAACATATGCACTGAGCAACGGCTGCAAAGCGGCAAGACTTCTTTGATTTCATGGTGTGAGTATTCTTTGATGATAATATTCGATATTTAAAAATATCTCCTCTGAATGAACGAACAAATCAATTTTAGGCTTCTTCTGCTTCGTTCTGGTGTGCCACTTTGGTGTGAGTGTTCTTGTTCTATGAATGCAATGTTGTGCAATCTCTGAGGATGGTATCTCTCCTGAAATGAATGAATCAATCAATCAATCCGTTGGAGAAAATCAATCAAAGCGAGTATTACCGCGCCGAAAATATTATAACACTAACCTAACGCCATAAAACGCCAACCGGCATTCGATAGTTCGACCCGTTCGGCCACTTATTTTTATTTGAACCCTATCATTCGGTCAGTCAGTCGTTTCTACTACAGTGTACAGTATTTTGCGACTAGCGTACAAAAACATTGCGACCATCGTGAATTATCACTGTATGATATTCATTTTATTCTGAGCATTTGCAAGGTTGCACCACAATAATGAACGATCCTCCGAATCTCTATCGGGATCCTGATTATCAAATCGCACAGGGGTGGCCGTTCGAGGCTGCCCAGCAAGCGGCTGATGGCAATATACAGGCCCTCCTGTATTTGGCCTTTACAGCGTTCAACGATGGGAATGGTTCGGTGGCCTTGAAGCATTATAGAAAGGCTGCCAGGGACTTTAATAATTTGGAAGCAACTTTGAATGTTATCAAAATTTACGAGTTTGGTCAGGGAGTGGGTGCAGATCTGGTCAAAGCTTGCCAGTGGATGAAGTAGGTCTTGATGACGATTGAATCCTCCCCAGAACAGTGGAAACATTCGCATATTCTACAGGATATCATTGTCAATTATGGCTATTACATGCTTGGTGCCAGGACATCAGCACGGGACGGACGAACACAAATCGAGCTTCCGGAAAACAAGAGAAACGTCAATGATGGTTTGAAGTGGCTCGAACGCGCGGCACAAATAGGAAGAGGTGATGTAGCTTCTAACTTGGGAAACATGTACATGACAGGAGGACATCCCAAAGTTCCTAGAAATTATGAAAAAGGTATGGAACTACTAGAGAAAGCTGCAGAGCTCGGCGATGGGCATTGTGCCTATCAACTGTCGATTTCATACAAGATTGGTATCATTCCAGTAGATGAAGGCAAGCATCGATTTTGGTTAAAAAAGGCCGCCGACATGGCGCACGAAGAAGCCGTGCAAGAGATGGCAAGGGTTTGGACTCCAAAAGAAGAAAGCAAAGCAGATCAAGAAAATAGTAAGAGAAGAAGATATTGAATCTATGCTGACAACCGATGAATCCGCAAAATGTTCCAATCCACCGTGCGAAGAGAGACAAACTGCTGTAACAGGGCTATTCAAGACCTGTGTCGTTTGTAGACACGTCAAGTACTGCTCGAAGGAATGTCAGAAAATCCATTGGAAGTCTGGACACAAACAAGACTGTCCAAAGCTAAAAGAGGCAAAGGAGGACCTGAAGAAAATGAACATTGATATGGTTACAAACAGAATAGTAGGCAATTGAAGACTATCATCCTCTTTTGTCCGATGCGTAGTTGGCAATGAAAACAAGGAGCTTGGTTGCGTGCGCGAAACGATATCAAAGATGACACTCGACAATTCTGTGTTGAGAATATCCAGCAAATTCTTTCGCACACCTATCTTGGGGGATCAAAGGTTATAATGTGGCAGGATGGAGGTTCCCTGACCGATGAATAATTTTAAAAAATGGAAACGGCACACGACTTTTGGTTGAAGCGCGTCACAGATTTTTATTATATTCGACACGCTTAAAAAGTGGCGCTAAATCAGATTTTGCCCAGGAACAAATCGCTCGTGTGTTTGACATCGTTTTGCACATCCTCTGACATTTTTTAGGAATTTTCAAAAGTTCTCGATACAGTCCTTCTATTGTACTTATAGTCCAATCATTCGTCATCAAGGCGAAGAATATAAGCGATTTTTAGATATATTGATAATTTGAGCACCGCATACAATCTTCTTGGGAGAAAGTTTATTTGTCGAAAAATCCTTGGAGAAGTTGCAACTTGCAACCATATTTTGTTTCCATTATAGCATAACCTAATCCACACTAGAATCCACAACAGAAACCATGCATCGTTTCAACATTGTTTCACTGGTGTGGATGGCTTTGATTGCTACAGCGACGCTCACAGGATCAGCCGCTCAGATTTATCCTGAAGAAATTATACTCAAAGCCGGTGTGATTCCAAGCAAATCATTTGGAGGCTTTATGGCAGATCTCCTAGATCGGTTAGCAGAAATTGCACTTGAAGACAATGTGACTCTCACAGTTCAGAAGAAAACGATCCAAGGGCTATATGGGTCCAACTTGGCCTTGATTTCCCCTGATTGCAAGGCGGGTGGAACGACTGAGGTCAACGGAGTTACATACGATTGTTCGGACTATGACTTTATCATTGGTGACTTCTGGCCAAATCCTGAACGGTATATGCTGGTCGATTTTACCCCTCCTTGGCTCACAACCTCGGTATCAACCATGAAGCTCGCTGAAAAGACGAAGAGTCCACACCTTGATGTCACAACACTAACTGAAGCTGAAAGATCTGGGGTCCCAGTCTGTGCACTGGAGAGCTCATATTCCGCGTCGTTAGTAGCTGAATCATTTCCTGACATCAATATTCTTCATTGTGCTCCCTATAGTACCGAATACAGCTGTCTGGATATGCTTGAGAACGAGGATTGCCAATTGCTTGCCTCGGACGAGCTAGATTTGAGATCTTTACAAACGCAATATCCATACTTCGAAATGACAGGGGAGCATTTGGTTAGGCAGCTCCTGGCCTGGCCCACGAGAAAAAACCTGGATTCAACAAGCTCATTTTTGCTCAATAAGTGGATCTATGCAGCTATCAGCAACCATGTCATCGACGAGCTGTACTTTGAATATTATGAGAAGAAACTTTGTGCCATTGGAACAGCTGGGGTAGACTGTGAGCTGCCATGTGATCCCGATCACGGCTCTTCAAATGCCCAGGGACAATGTGTTTGCGAGTCGATGCGATGGAGAGGAGGTGAGGCGCATGAGCACATGATAAAAATACATACATTGCAATCAAAAGGTCGCTAACCCGTTTTTTCTGGATCAGACGACTGCAGCGTGGAAGTACCACAAGAACTGAATTTGATACCTCCCACTGTTAAGGGAATTGCATACAGTATGTTTGGACTCAACGCATTTCTTGTGCTTGTTGGTGGAATATGGCTACGAGTCTATTGGGACAGCCCTGCTGTGAAGTACAGGTGCGTGACTTTTCTGTCAGTCATTATCTGCGAGCTGATTCATTTTCTGAACGTTTTGTTTTTTTCAGTCAACCTGGGTTTCTTGCTCTAGTCCTTATCGGTTGCTTTGCTAGCACATCAACCATCCTTGCAATGGTACAGGAAGACGAAGAAGATGGTCCCGTTCCAGCATGCATTGCAATCCCATGGCTATACAGTGTAGGATTCTCCATCACGTTTGGAACGCTTTTCGCCAAGATCCGCAGAGTGTATGGAATCTTCGCGGAGGCGCATCGGAGCACAAATAGGCGAGTTGTTGACTCATCTCGACGAGCATACACATCTTGGCAAGATACTCTTTCGATGATTGGTAAAGTGCTTCTTTTGGACGTTGTCATTCTGGTACTATGGACAGGTGTCGATCCTCTCCATTGGCAACGAGAGATCATTCGACAAGATCAGTTTGGGTTTACGCTAGAGTCACGCGGCAGCTGTACATCTGAAAACTGGAGACCATTTCTTGGAGCACTTGTTGCTTTGCACATCACACTTTGTGTCATTGCTTGTTATATGTGTTATGTAGCACGGAATATCCCAAGCAGGTACAGTGAGCACAAGTATTTGACAATTGCGATGGTATCGAATCTACAAGTGTTTGCCATTGGAGGTACGTATAATGGTTGCTGCTTTGCTTGCTTGCACCGAACCCTGAAAATGTCCCTCACACCATTTCAAAATGCAGTCCCTGTATTGATAATAACAGAAGACGATCCGGCCTCCCACTTCTTTGTTCGAAGTGCAGTCGTTTGGATGAATGACTTTGTGGTACTCGCTTTGATCTTTGGAAACTTGATGTATGCTGTACACTCTTCGAAATCGCGTGGTCAGATGACTGGAAGGGAAAAGCAAAAGGTGTCTGAAGCAGTACGAAGCTTTGAACCACGGCGCGACTCTGTCGGCCATCGAAAAGGGTCCGGCGGATCATCACTGGAAAGAAACGAACGAAACGAACGAGGCTACAATAAGAACAAGCCTGCTCCTAAAGAAGTGAGCACCGAGTCGTCAGATATTGAAAACGGGTCTGTTATCCGTGCTCCTGGTACTGGAACACAATGCACGTCAGGTTGTCGCTCTGCAGAGAATACTAAAGAAACATCAGAGATCGCCATTTCCGCACTTAGCATGAGTGGATTCGACGGATCCAGCAGTCACGATGGCATGCCTATACTGGTAATTGGTGGTCCTACTACAAAGTCGAAAGAAGAATCAGCCGCACGATGGGGACAGTCACCTGGTAGTCCGTCATCTGATGAGAAAGGGGAACTGATTAGTTCCTATGGACCATCGATTCCAACCCGTGGGGAGACTGTTTTTGATCAACCAGAAGAAGATGGCAGTGGAGCATTACTATCATCAAATCCAGCAATGTCGAATTCCAGGGACGGAAACAACGACGGTTGTGTAGTACTAGCAGAAGAAGAAGAAGAAGAAAACCCGCAACAGCCGAATGCCATGGTAATGAACAATAAACCCCATCAGTTCCTAGACCTGGCTGTGGATGTATCGGAACGTCTTACTTCTATAGCAGAACTGGAGTGGAGCGATGAAGAAGAGAATCTTACAAATCAGACGCCACATGCGTTGTTGGAATCTACTTCGCCTGAGCAAGCACCAATTATGCCAGTACGGGTCGAGTCGGAAGTTATGGAGGCCTAGCCACAGGCGCTTCACAGGGTTTGGGGACCGAGCACTTGTTTGCGATCGATCGTTTGGTTTTTTTCAAAAATAGTGTAATACTAAAAAGTTTTGTTGTATACTTTGTGAAAGTGTTGAGCAGTACTGTAATTGAAGCAAGAAATTTGAACTGCTCTAGTATTGCAACACTTAAAAAATATGTCATCACAACGGTAAATAGGAAACTACTATACCAAATTGGTGGTTTCGGAAGCTTCCTTTTTCTCCTCGTCCTTTTTGCTCTTTCCATTTTTTCTTGTCTTGAGAAATCCCAAGGCTGCCAACATGTCTGTTTCCTTGTTCTTGTCTTGCGCCTCTTCCGTAAAGAAATCGGCAATCGTTTGGCGGACCAGATGGGCCCGTTCCGGCGGCAAATCTCGCAACAGGTTCTTCTTGACCAAAAAGGCATCTCGCACCATGAGCAATTCTCGCAAACCAAAGAGGGGGACCAGAATCTTTCGAAAAATCTTTTCGGCACCTCCAAACATGGGCAACATGAGATAGACTTCTGCCAGAATGATGACAGTGTAGAATCCAGGAATCCATCCCAACCATGTTTCTCTGTAATAGTATTGAAAGAGTAGAGGGGATAAAAGGAAAAAGGGAAAAGAAAATGCAGCATGAGATGAGATGGACTGATCCTCGTTTTTTTTGCTCCACGAGCAATGAATGATCCCCCTCCAAATAAGCTAGTAGTAGACACCACTCACAGAAAATCCATGGAAATAAACAAGATACCATAGCAGGACCAATAAGTCAACCAGAAAGCATCATCTTCAAACTCCTCCGTGGAAATGGCAACAACAGACGAGACAAAGGGATAGACGGTTCCAACCCCGACCGCAGCAATACGCTTCATACCCTGTGGCAGAAACATGAAAAAGATCCAAATGATGTAAAGATGGATAGCATTGACAAAGGATTGGACAATAGCATCGAGCATTTTGGACATGGACGATGCCAGTGGCTTGAACCGAGTTGCCAAGTACTTTTGGGTGAAGCGTTCATCAATAATGACAGCCCCTGACGTCCTTGGAAAGTACAACCAAAAGTAGACAAAGCATGTAAATTTGTACCAATAGACATCCGCGACATCATTGTCCACGGCATTGTCGACCCATTCGGTGAATACAAAGAACATTCCGCCCAGTGTCCAGTATCGCAACCAGTCCGTGTCGTCTTCTTCATCGGGAGTGCAGACGGCCAAGACCGATTCGTAAATGGGAAAGACAAAGCCGACCAATGCCACGGTTTTTTCGGAAAAGACGTACTTGGCAATCTCAAAGGGAAGAAAGGCAATGGTCACAATGGCGACCGCCCAGTACCGCAAATGAATCCCCCATCGGAAATCCCGTTCTTGTTGCACCTTCTTGGTCAAGAGGACCACCACGGCAAGGACCGCCAAGGAAGAAGCGACGGAGATCCAGATGTTGCCATGCTTGCTGTTCAAGCGAGCCATTTCGTGTGTCTCGACCACATCTGGTGCAACTGTTGCGTCCATGATGATGTTGACGAGGATGACGATGACGCTTCTATATTTGTTATGGGGTGTGTATTTCTATTTCGTTTCCTTTCGTTTCGTCTCGTCAATATGGTTTCAGGTTCGGCCCAAATTGAAAATATGTGTGACACGGTGGAAAAAACAATGTTGACGTCGCCCACTAAATTCCCAGATGCCAAAAGATACGGTCTGTGATTCAGGCCTACACAAGTACCTCCATTAGAACTTGAACTACTCTAAATTTCTACCGGTACAGTCTACAGCAGGACTACATTACGAAAAGGATCCAGTGCATCCCCACTTATTGGGACCCTCATAGTCATTCAAATGAATCCAATGATTGGCCGCGTACTTTTTGCCTTTAATGACGGGCATGGCTTCGTGAAAGGTACGTGGATCCCACGTGCTGGGATCTTCATTCTTGACCGATGGCCACACCAATGCTCTTCCTCGTTTTGGCTTGACTTGAATCCCCAGCTTGTTGAATTTTGTTTCTCCTCCTTCTTCCACATCTGTGAGATAGAGAAAGAATGTCAAGATTCGGTGTCCCGACAATCCCTTTTCGGATCCCGAACTGTCGTGATGACTTCGATAGAATTGATTGTAATCGTACTCCAAAATCTGAAAACTCTCATAATTCTTTTTTGGTACTTTTGTGACTTCTTCAATGCGGTGACTCACGCGGGAGACTTGAGGAATCCTTTCGCATGCCCCAATGCACCAGGCATTGGAACTAGTCCGGGTGGTCGATACGACCTTTTCTCGTTCTCCCAAGGAATTCATCTTTCCTTGATCGGTACTTCGTTCAAATCCAACCTTGGCACCACCTTGAATCAGTGCATTGGCTTCATCTTCACTAAAGAAATTATCAAAGGTCACGACCCATGGACCATCAATTCCTCCAAATTCAGCTCCTGGACTCGACAAGACTTGCGGGTCGTACTGGGCAAAGTCCGAGTCCTTGGCAGCCCACGATTCAAAGAGTTTGTTCAAATCTCCTGGTTGCCAGGCCGGTTCCGTCATGTTCAATCGTTCCTTGGTACATCGAACGTTGGGATCAATTAGTTCCGAAGCATTCAATTCTTCGTCACAGGATTTGCAGCAGTGGACAATCATCCATCCCGGACTCCACGAACATGTTCCTCGTGCGGCTTCGGATTTGCAAATGCTAAAGCGATCTTGGCAGGGATTGGTAGAAGGAGCCGCGTTTTCTGGAATTTCATACGTCTCATTGGGTCTTTTGACAGTCACCCGGTGTTGTTCGTCCGTTTCCAAATCAAACAAACCTTCCTTGACGCCGTGACGGGTAATGAAAAAGGAATGTCCCTGGTAGGTCTCCAAACTGCTTTCTCCGCCATTTGGTTCTAGAATGGCCATGTGAACCCCGTACTTTCCATCATCCCAGTGAACGTCCGCTCGATATTGGCTCTTGTTGACAAACTTCATTGGAAATTTGTGGGTATAGGTTTCTTGCTTTTCTTGTTGTTGTTCTTGTTGTTCTTGCTGCGTGGTTCTTTGATGAGCAGCGGCATTGCATTCGTCGTCAGCGGCACTGCAAGTTCCTTCTTCTGCACTTGCATAAGGAAGGAAGCAACAACAGCTGCTGACTAGGAGAAGAAAGAGTATCGTGAACCAAGGTGATCGAGGCAACATATTGTACTGCAATGGATGGATGGATGGATGGATGAATGGATGGACTGGTTGGTGCTTTGGAAAATGACTGTCGAAATAAAAAATAAATGCTAAACGTGACAAAGTGTCATTTTCGCGATGCGAACTCCTCCTCAATTTTGAATGTTTCGCGCAGTATCGCGCATTGGTGTCTGGCCGTCTGACCCACTCTTTGTTTTTGGCTGGGAATTGACGACGGACGACGATGATGAGGATGAACAGTGTGAGTTGGTTTTTGCGTTTCCCAAAACAGGCACTTCAAAGGAACCTTTACCTAACAGCCTAGATTTAGACTGATTCAAAGCAAGCGAGATATCCATCCGAGAATTTCGTATTTCAATAGGATTCCCTTCCATAATCGTAGCTACTCCCAAGACAACAATCACATCACATCACCCATTTATTCAACATCACACAAACACACACACACACGCACACACATAACATTATGCTATCCTTATGCCGACAATTCTCATCCTCGCTTGCGTTCCGACAAACGCCTGCAGCAGCCTGCCTTTCTACTTCGGCTGCACAATCGCAAGAGGTTGTGGAAGTGCTGAAACTCAACATGCTCAAGGATAATCCAGGAGCTGTCAAGAAGGTACGTGCTTGAGGATTTCAATTGAAACTCATTTTTTTTAATGCAACTGTTGGCTCACATATGTATTCGTCTTCTTTTTCTCTCCCTCCCTCTCATTTATAATAATATATCAGAAACGACGAATTGGCCGTGGTATCGGTTCTAGTAAAGGCAAGACGGCTGGCAGAGGACACAAGGGTCAAAAGGCACGAGCGGGTGGTTCCATTTCCATTGGATTTGAGGGTGGTCAAACCAAGTTTTACAAATTGTTGCCCAAGCGAGGCTTTACCAACAAGCGACACAAGACTGACATGCTGGCCATCAATCTCGGCACCATTCAAGATTATGTGGACATGGGACGATTGACGCCCACTGGCGGTGGTGGTGTGGATGGTGGTGATGGTGACAATAACAAAATAGTTACATTGAAGGATCTTTGCGATGCGGGCATTTGCACCCATTCCTCCATCAAACATGGAGTCAAATTGCTGGCCAAGGGCAAAGAACGATTGAAGACTCCTCTCCAATTGGAGGTTTCCCGGGCAAGTACTCATGCCATTGAAGCCATGGAAGCCATTGGTGGAGAAGTCACGACGGTGCACTACAATCGATTGGCGTTGAGGGCTCTGTTAAAACCAAACAAGTTTATTATACTGCCCAAGTTTGCCCGACCACCTCCCAAATGGCAACCCTACTACACCAACTGGGATGCAAATCGTGGTTATCTAAGTGTCCAAGCGCAAATGAGGAGTTTGCTAAAGGAACGACCGGAACTGGAAGAGGCTTTTGCCAAGGCGTTGGAGGAACGGCGGTCCAACTTGGCAACTAGTGGTACTGCTAGTAGTAGCAAGGACGACTAACAAGGAGCAAAGGTAGTAACTAAAAATTGACTTTCAAATTACAAGAGTACCTGGCTAGCCTTGCAGTATGATCAAACACATTTTTGTTGCTTCATTTAGTTGCCTTTAAAGCTGGGATTCTTGTAGCATTCGGGATAACCTTCGGGACCCACTGGAATGGTTCCATTTCCAGTTCTGCCAAAGTAACCTTGTTTGCAGTGAGCCAAGTAACCGGCACTGGTCACTGGTTCCATTTGTGGTGCGCAAGTCGTCATATCACCCATCCATCGCCAAATGTTAGGGTATTCCCAAAGATATTTCTTGTTCAGTTTGAAGCGATTGTAATAGACGGGGTCATGTCGAAATAGAGGAGGCAAGAGTCGCAAATCTGCCTCAGTAGGCTTGTCAGTGCCTACCAAGAATTTGTTCTTGGAAAAAATATCTTCGAGCTTGTCCAAAGCCTCGAAGTAGTTCTTGTAGGCAGTTTCATAGACATCTTGGTTGGACGAGAAACCGGCCTTGTAGGATCCATTGGCAATTTCCTTGTAGACCCAATCGTTCATTTCATCAATTTGTGACCGCTTCTCCTCTGGGTACAAGTCGATATCAGTTGTCTGAAACTCCTTCATGGCTGTTCCCAACATGCGGACAATTTCAGCCGACTCGTTGTTGACGACGGTCTTGGTTTCCTTGTCAAACAAAATCGGGACTGACTTTTGATCCGTAATGCCAGCAAGCTTGTACACTTCAATGACATAGTCTTTTCCAAGAACAGTGTCAACCGTACATTCTGGGAATACCATGTGCTTGCCATTGCGACCGACCTGTCCTTGAGGACAAAACTTCCACAAATTACCACCCAAAGGCTCGTCATCGTCACTTCGATTTGGATACAAGACGTCAACGGTGATGACATCTTCCAATCCCAACATTGATCGTGCCAACAAGACACGATGACACCAAGGACAGTTGTAAGCTACGTACATGTGGTAGCGGCCCTTGGCAGGTTTGTACCAAATCGCACCATCGGCCTTTTCTTCGGCGGTTGGTTCTTGGGTAGTAGATATCCAGTTGCGTGCCGAGGAGACGCCTCGGACGAATTCACCTTGGGCTCGACGTTGTGCAGCATTGGTTTGATCGTCAGTGGTGATTCCTGCCAATCCGGAAACCCCAGCGCTAGCGTTATTGCTTGACATGAGGAGAGATGAGGGTGTTCTTGTTGTACGAAACAGTAGAGGCGATGAATGCACTCCGAAAAGGTGGTGACGACTTGGATTGTAAGAGCTGGCAGTAGCTCCTAAGGATAGAAAAGGTCTAAGCAAAATATTAGTTGCACCAAACCGAGTCCTCATGTATTTGTGATGAAGATACAATGAGTGTCGTTTTGGTATCTTCGACAGCAGTGCGTGTTTTGTTGCTTATCTCTGACGTTTCAATGAGGTTCTTGGAACATCTGTTCAGTCGAGGTGGTCAAACATGTGGCACATTGATCGGTAGTGTACCGGTACAGTTGTACCGGTATATCCCTGCAGTACCAGTGTGCTGTTAATGCAAACATAGTTCTATATCAGCGCGGTATTGAGTTACAAGCCCCCAGTTGTTCCTTTACCCTGATGAAAAAGAGCCAAAGATTTGTCAAAAATTTCAAAATTGATTTATTAATTGCAGACTCGCAGACTTCCAATAGCATTCTCTGGCTCTTTTGAACGCTTCTTCACGTGTCTGCAAACGACACAGCTTTTGGTCAGCTTCCGCTGTCGGAACACTTTGGGTTTCATTAGTGGTCAACTTGAGGTAGTTTGTGACGTAGAATAGATGAACGTTTTCATTGGTCTTTAGTGGATTCATTCGGCTGTCATCATGATTTCCTTCGATCGCAGGCAACTCTCAACCACATCTATCGCACGTCATCTCCTATGCTTCCAAAACTTCCGACTCGAACCTTCTAGGCATGACTGGCGCTTGCTCGGGTGGAGTAGATTCTAACCTCTCGGGTGACCTTCTGGGCATGACTGGTGCTTGCTCGTGCGAAACAGATTCTAACATCCCTGGTAACCTTCTGGGCATGACTGGCGCCCTTTCGTGAGAAAAAGATTCTAGCATCGCGGGTGGCGTCTGATTTGTAAGATTATCTTCCTCATCGCTCCATTCCAGTTCTGCTATAGAAGTAAGCCGTATCGCTCCATCCAAAGTCATATTTTGGAATTCATGTTTGCTCAAGATTGAATTTTGCTGGGACTTTTCTCCTTCAGCTTTCACAGCATCGCCATCGTCGTCGTCATTAGTACTCGAAATTGGCAGCCTGGACGGCAAGACACCGTCATCCCCTTCTGGTTGATCAAAAACAGTCTCACCGCGTGTAGGAATCGACGGTCCAAATGAACTAATCGACTCCCCATTGTCGCGAGATGACGGACTAGGTGATGATCCCCACCGTGCTGCCGATTTAGCTTTCGACTTTGTAGCAGGAGTCATTGCCACTGCAGACATGACTTCGTGGGTGGATTCTTCGAATCCGCTCATGCTAAGTTCGGAAATTGCGATCTCTGATCCTTTTTCTGCAGAGAAAGAACCTGACGTGCCCTTTGTTCCACTACCAAGAGCGTTGCCTGCAGACCCGTTCTCAATATCTGACTCGATACTCACTTCGTGAATAGACTTGATCTTGTTGGTCTTGAAGCTTCGTTCGCTTCGTTCAAGCGATGGCCCTTGGGACGTTTTCCGATTGACGGACGGAGCTACAGAGCGCGGTTCGAAGCTCCTTACTGCTTCGGACACCTTTCGTTTGTCCCTTCCCGTCATCTGCGCAGGAGATTTCGAAGAGCAGTGCACAGTATACATCAAGTTTCCAAAGATCAAAACGAGCACCACAAAGTCATTCATCCAAACAACTGCACTTCGAACAAAGGCATGGGCAGCCGGGTCGTCTTCTGTTATGATCAATACAGGAACTGTGTTTCGGGGTTGTGTGAGGGACATTTTCAGTGTTGGATGCAAGCAAGCAAAGTATCCACAGTATCCACCGTCATACGTACCTCCAATGGCAAACACTTGTAGATTCGATACCATCGCAATAGTCAAATACTTGTGCTCACTGTACCTGCTTGGGATGTTCCGTGAAACGTAGCACATATAACAAGCAATGCAACAAAGTGCAATATGCAGAGCGACAAGTGCTCCCAGAAACAATGTCCAGTGTTCAGATACGCAGTACCCTTGTGATTCTAGTGTAAACCCAAACTGATCTTGTCTAATGATCTCTCGTTTCCAATAAAGTGGATCGACACTCGTCCACAATACAAGAATGACAACGTCCAAAAGAAGCACTTTACCAATCGTCGAAAGAGTGTCTTGCCAAGATGTAGAAGTTCGTCGATTTGAGTCAACATTTCTTATCGCCACGCTCTGATGTCCCTGTGCAAAGATTTCGTAAACTCTACGGATCTTGGCGAAAAGTGTTCCAAACGTGATGGAGAATCCTACACTGTATAGCCATGGGATTGCAATGCAGGCAGGAACGGGACCGTCTCCTTCGTCTGCCTGTACCATCGCAGGGATGGATGATGTGCTGATCAAGCAACCGATAAGGACTAGTGCAAGGAAACCAGGTTGACTGCAAAACAACAACAACACGTTTAGACATCGACTTCGCCCCCAGGAAATAGAAAGAAAGGTCACACGCACCTGTACTTCACAGCAGGGCTGTCGCAATAGACACGTAGCCATATTCCACCAACTAGCACGAGAAATGCGTTGAGTCCAAACATGCTGTATGCAATTGCCTCAACAGCGCGAGGTATCAAGTTCAGGTCTTGTGGTACTTCTACGCTGCAGTCGTCTGATCCAGAAAACGGGTTAGCGAGCTGTTGGTTTCAATATATATTTTTCTTCTCATGTCCTCATGCGCCTTACCTCCTGTCCATCGGATCGATTTGCAAACACATTGTCCCTGGGCATTTGAAGAACCGTGATCCGGATCACATGGCAGCTCGCAATCCGCTCCAGCAGTTCCAATGGGGCACAGCTTCTTCTCGAAGTACTCAAAGAACAGCTCGTCGATGACTTGGTTGCTGATAGCTGCATAGATCCACTTATTGAGCAAAAATGAACTTGTTGGGTCCAGGCTTTTTCTCATGGGCCATGCCAGGAGCTGCCGAACCAAATGCTCCCCTGTCACTTCGAAATGTGGATATTTTGTTTGTAAATGTCTCAGGTACAGCTCGTCCGAGGCAAGCAATTGACAATCCTCGTTCTCCAGCAAATTCAAACAATCGTTGGGGGTATCATCGTCAGTACAATGAAGTATGTTGACGCCAGGAAATGCACTAGTGACTAAACGCTCAGAATACGAGCTTTGAAGCGCACAGACAGGGACTCCGGCTCTTGTGGCTTCAGTGAGTGTTGTAACATCAATGTTTGGATTCTTCGTCTTTTCAGTGTACTTCATGGTCGATACCGAGGTTGTAAGCCAAGGAGGGGTAAAATCGACCAACGTATACCGTTCAGGATTTGGCCAGAAATCGCCTATTATGAAGTCATAATCCGAGCAATTGTAGGTCACTCCGTTGATCTCAACTGTTTCACCCGGATTGCAATCCGGAGAAATCAAGGCCAAATTGGACCCATATAGTTCTTGGATCGTTTTCTTCTCGACTGTGAGGGTTACATTGTCTTCTAGTGCAATGTCCACTAAACGATCCAATAGGTCGCGCATAAAACCTCCAAATGAAGTGCTTGGAATCAGGCCGGCTTTAAGTGTGATTTCCTCAGGATAAATCTGAGCGGCTGATCCTGTGATCGTCGCTGCAGCAATCAAAACTATCCACACCAGTGAAACATTGTTGAAACGATGCATGGTGCCCATTGTGGATATGCGTGTGTAACACTGATGAGTGGGTCGGCGATCGACAATTTCTCATACCAAAAACGCAGATGGGCTTTTGAATCTCTTTCGCCCTCTTTTGTCCACCGTCCTTAAATAGCTTACCTCTTCCCACTGTTTCTAGGAATTTGAGGAGTTTACCGCTCTAGTGTCTGAGATTTGGGTCATTTTTGATATACAAGCTTTTTTCGAGTATTAAATGAATGTTTAGTTCGGGGCTTATTTTTGAAATAGTACGAGTGATCGAACTTTCGCTCGCTAAGATTCTCGACCAGATTCTCGCACCTTATCCGGCAGGTACACGTGTACCGGTAGTCAACCTACAGTGCTGACCAAGCTTTGATAAACTTCAATCATTTCTATTGATTGCAGACAAAATATGGTCACAACGCAGGTCGAACCATCTCAAACTACCATGTACTGTACCTCATACCGACTCAAACCTGGATAGTTCTTATCATCTTCTCGTGTATGACCTGAAATGCCCTTCATCACGGGCTGTCGGCTCATGTTCCTTTCATTGGTAATTGCGCTGGGTCTTCTTATCGTATTTACTTTCTCCTTATCCAGAAGATTCCATACTTCACTATTCAGTATAGATTCAGTCTTGGCATCATGTTCTTGCCAACATCGAAGAAGAAACAACCAGCAAGCTCTTTTTCTGTAAGTGCTAAACACCCTGTTGATTGCAAAGTACGGGAAAACGTCGTCGGTTCGAAATGCGACGTTCCTCTAAAAGATATGATTGATGATTGATTCGTTTAGATCACATGCGTTCAGCTCCATTTTTAAATAAAAATCTCACAATTTGAACTCTTGAAAACAGAATAGGTATGGTACAGTGCTAGTGTTTGGTTAGCTTGAAGCTTCAGTAGTAGTTAAAGAAGAATAGTCTTCCATGTAACGTCGCATGGATTCCGTTCAAGTCCGCTGATTTCCAAGCTCAGCACGAAGTCCACTAGCCTCCTCCGTCAGGAGTCCATTCAAAAAAACGTCCAGTAATATGTCCTGCAGAGGCAGTTACTTGAAGGTGTACTGTGGCTCCCGTCTAGATGATATTCTACTCTATAAGCGTCAGCAAGGGAAAACAAGAGGGGGGAAAGCGAGACTGCTGCTAACATATGCGGTGCAAGAGTCTGAGAGAAACCATAATTAGTAAAGGTGACCTCACCAGAGTGGTAGTATTTCGCCTGCATATGCCAATCTAGATACCATACTGGTACTATATAAGTGCCGCTATGGTCCTAGGTTTATAGTAATGAACAAAAACAAACACCCCCTTCATGTGTCTCTGTTTCTCAATCTCTTCAAGTACTATATCTTGAGTCTGCTCTTTGCTAGTTTAAAATCGACTCGTTCGACTGTTTTACTTCAATAAGCCATTACGAATATATATCCATGGCACATCGATGGTGGATTGTGACCTCCCTGTCCTTGATGGAAAATCGAATATCATTCTCTACTAGATCATATTTCAAGGCATATTGGGCAGGATTATTGCAACAAGATTCGGTGAGCTGCTTATTTGAGCAGAAAGTCGATTTTGCAGTTTTCGTGATCGGTCAAACAACGGATTGCAGAGACTCTTACAATAACTGATGAAGCTTTGGTGCGGGTGCTTCTAAGCTGAAAAATCCCTGTATCCTGGGCGAACGACGTCAAGTTTCAACAGCGCTACGAGCCACACGTGATGTATAGTACGAATGCAGAGTTTGGAGGGGTTCATAGTCCTTGGTTCTTGACCTTTGACATCTTTTCGGTCGTAATGACTTCTCAACACAACCAGCTTTTCCAACAATTCCGCTTGAGAAACAGTCGCAAATGTATTTGTCCTACGTTTAAGATATCAGGTTTGGGAAGTACTACAGCAGGAGCCATTGGAGCCCCCAAGGTCGGGAATCACGGCCGGTCTTCCTACCTACATCATCGACTAGTGTGACTACTTTGTAATATCGTTCTTTGAACGTTTTCATCGGTCTTCAGTGGATTCAGTCGGCTGTCATCATGATTTCCTTCGATCGCAGGCAACTCTCAACCACATCTATCGTACGTCATCTCCTATGCTTCCAAAACTTCCGACTCGAACCTTCTGGGCATGACTGGCGCTTGCTCGGGTGGAGTAGATTCTAACCTCTCGGGTGACCTTCTGGGCGTGACTGCTTGCTCGTGCGAAACAGGTTCTAACATCCCTGGTAACCTTCTGGGCATGACTGGCGCCCTTTCGTGAGAAAAAGATTCTAGCATCGCGGGTGGCGTCTGATTTGTAAGATTATCTTCCTCATCGCTCCATTCCAGTTCTGCTATAGAAGTAAGCCGTATCGCTCCATCCAAAGTCATATTTTGGAATTCATGTTTGCTCAAGATTGAATTTTGCTGGGACTTTTCTCCTTCAGCTTTCACAGCATCGCCATCGTCGTCGTCATTAGTACTCGAAATTGGCAGCCTGGACGGCAAGACACCGTCATCCCCTTCTGGTTGATCAAAAACAGTCTCACCGCGTGTAGGAATCGACGGTCCAAATGAACTAATCGACTCCCCATTGTCGCGAGATGACGGACTAGGTGATGATCCCCACCGTGCTGCCGATTTAGCTTTCGACTTTGTAGCAGGAGTCATTGCCACTGCAGACATGACTTCGTGGGTGGATTCTTCGAATCCGCTCATGCTAAGTTCGGAAATTGCGATCTCTGATCCTTTTTCTGCAGAGAAAGAACCTGACGTGCCCTTTGTTCCACTACCAAGAGCGTTGCCTGCAGACCCGTTCTCAATATCTGACTCGATACTCACTTCGTGAATAGACTTGATCTTGTTGGTCTTGAAGCTTCGTTCGCTTCGTTCAAGCGATGGCCCTTGGGACGTTTTCCGATTGACGGACGGAGCTACAGAGCGCGGTTCGAAGCTCCTTACTGCTTCGGACACCTTTCGTTTGTCCCTTCCCGTCATCTGCGCAGGAGATTTCGAAGAGCAGTGCACAGTATACATCAAGTTTCCAAAGATCAAAACGAGCACCACAAAGTCATTCATCCAAACAACTGCACTTCGAACAAAGGCATGGGCAGCCGGGTCGTCTTCTGTTATGATCAATACAGGAACTGTGTTTCGGGGTTGTGTGAGGGACATTTTCAGTGTTGGATGCAAGCAAGCAAAGTATCCACAGTATCCACCGTCATACGTACCTCCAATGGCAAACACTTGTAGATTCGATACCATCGCAATAGTCAAATACTTGTGCTCACTGTACCTGCTTGGGATGTTCCGTGAAACGTAGCACATATAACAAGCAATGCAACAAAGTGCAATATGCAGAGCGACAAGTGCTCCCAGAAACAATGTCCAGTGTTCAGATACGCAGTACCCTTGTGATTCTAGTGTAAACCCAAACTGATCTTGTCTAATGATCTCTCGTTTCCAATAAAGTGGATCGACACTCGTCCACAATACAAGAATGACAACGTCCAAAAGAAGCACTTTACCAATCGTCGAAAGAGTGTCTTGCCAAGATGTAGAAGTTCGTCGATTTGAGTCAACATTTCTTATCGCCACGCTCTGATGTCCCTGTGCAAAGATTTCGTAAACTCTACGGATCTTGGCGAAAAGTGTTCCAAACGTGATGGAGAATCCTACACTGTATAGCCATGGGATTGCAATGCAGGCAGGAACGGGACCGTCTCCTTCGTCTTCCTGTACCATCGCAGGGATGGATGATGTGCTGATCAAGCAACCGATAAGGACTAGTGCAAGGAAACCAGGTTGACTACAAAACAACAACAACACGTTTAGACATCGACTTCGCCCCCAGGGAATAGAAAGAAAGGTCACACGCACCTGTACTTCACAGCAGGGCTTTCCCGATAGACACGTAGCCATATTCCACCAACTAGCACACGAAATGCGTTGAGTCCAAACATGCTGTATGCAATTGTCTCAACGATATGAGGTACCAAGTTTAGTTCCTGTGGTACATCTACGCTGCAGTCGTCTGTACAGAAGAGAGGTTGTGAGTTTTGGTTTCATTTTTTTCTTCCATGTCCTCATGCGCCTTACCTCCTGTCCATCGGATCGATTTGCAAACACATTGTCCCTGGGCATTTGAAGAACCGTGATCCGGATCACATGGCAGCTCGCAATCCGCTCCAGCAGTTCCAATGGGGCACAGCTTCTTCTCAAAGTACTCAAAGAAGAGCTGGTCGATGACTTGGTTGCTAATAGCTGCATAGATCCACTTATTGAGCAAAAAGGAGCTTGTTGGATCCAGGCTTTTTCTCATGGGCCATGCCAGGAGCTGCCGAACCAAATGCTCCCCTGTCATTTCGAAATGTGGAAATTTTGTCTGCAAAGCCCTCAAATACAGCTCGTCTGAAGCAATCAATAGGCAATCTTCGTTTTCGAGCATAGTCAAACAACTGGATCCCACAGAGTCACCACAATGAAGTATGTTGACGTCAGGATATGTTCCAATGACAAGCCGCTCAGCATACGAGCTTTCAAGCGCACATACAGGGACTCCAGTTCTTGTGGCTTCAGTGAGTGTTGTAACATCAAGGTTTGGATTCTTTGTCTTCTCCGTGTATTTTATCATTGACACCGAGGTTGTAAGCCAAGGGGGGGTGAAATCGACTAGTGTATACCGTTCAGGATTTGGCCAGTAATTGCCAATTATAAAGTCATAGTCCGAGCAATTATAGGTCAGTCCGTTGACCTCAACTGTTTCACCCGGATTGCAATCGGGAGAAATCAAGGCCAAATTGGGCCCATATAACGACCCTTGGATCGTTTTCTCCTCAACCGTGAGGGTCACATTGTCTTCGAGCGCAATGTCTTTTAAACGATCTAGAAGATCTCCCATAAAGCCTCCAAATGAAGTGCTTGGAATTACACCGGCTTTGAGTGTAATTTCCTCAGGATAAATCTGAGCGGCTGATTCTGTGATCGTCGCTGCAGCAATCAAAGCTATCCACACCGGAGAATCATTGTTGAAACGATGCATAGTGCCCACTGTGGATATGCGTCGTAGATTGCTAACACTGATAAGTGAGTTGTCGTTCAACTTCTCATTGTTTCTTTTCCGAACACGCAGATCGGTAAAGTACTCACATGTAGAGGCTTTCGAATCTTTTTAATCTTCAGTGACCTCTATTTTGTCCTTCGGAGCGTTAAATTGCTAAACTCTTCTAATTGTTTTCAGGATTTTCTGAATTTTCTGAATTTACCGCTCTGACGAATCAACAACGTCAGTGGGTGGGGTCATTTTTGTTATATAAGCTTTTTTCCATTATTAAATCAATGTTTTAGTAGGGTAGTGTGCGTGATCGAACTCTCTCTCGCTCTCAGATTCTTGCGCCTTTGATCATTATCTGTGGCACTAGCTCATCAGTCAACCTGCAGTATTGACCAGGCAAACTTCAAATCATTTCTATTGATTGCAGAAAAATATGGTACTAACACAGTTCAAACCATCTTCATTCATTGCCTATCAGTAACAGCACAATTTGATCCAACTGAAGTTGTGTGAGAACATAAAACATCTAACACTTTGTAATAATTATTGCCGACCGAATTACCCTAGCTATGATTCCTAGAGCAGATAGTTGGGGGTATTGACCTCACCTTGCATTCACAATGCATTGCTGGCATGATGATGATGAGGTTGTAAAAAGTATACCACCAGTGGAGGATCAGATCTCAGTAAACTTAGCCCCCTTGTGATGATATCACAATTCGGCTAGTGTGGTGGAGTGTGCTCACACTCACAAACGATCGTCAAAAGACAAATTATTGATTCGGGGCATGAAGTTGGCTTTCAACAGAGTACCAGGTACTACCGATCACAGCAACAATAACTCTCAGATTCTCAAGTATCAGCCCAAAGATTTCTATTTCTGAGCCAACTGGAAAACGGCTAGTGTCAGGTCATATGAAATTTTACGCCTTTCCTCTGTTTGCTAGATTCAAAGCAGAGCAAGGACGAGCATCGGTGAGCGTAGTCTTGTTTCAACAAAGCAAAGCTCGTAACAAGCACCTCATTCGCCCCAAGTGCTTCAGCCATTGTCATCAATCAGAAACGAAACTTCAGAGACTCGATGGGGATCCCCGAACCTACCGGTACCATGAAGCTCTGCCGGTGACCTACAATAAGGGACCAAGTTTGCAGCGAATCTTTCGATGATTCCTTCATAGACCTGTACAAGGTACGATTACGAAGGGTCTAGCAAATGGTGCTGCAAAGGATCGTTCAGCTAAAATATTCGTTTAAAACTTTTTAGTATGCATTGGAAGAGATGGCAGTCGAGACTTTTCAAAAATGATTCCATTCTAATTTGTCCTCTTCACACGAGACTGACTCGAGACAACGATGATTTATTCATCATGTTCTAAGTGTTTGCCTTTTTATGAGCGTTCCATTGACTCTTTAGCTTCTTCTTGCGTTCTTCTCGATCTTTCTTCTTTTGTTCAAAGTCGGAAATGCGGGACTTGGCGCGTTCGTCGTTTTCTTTTCGTCGTCGCTTCTGTTCTTCCGTCTCTTTGGGGGTTTCCATGCCTTGTTTTGCGTCGCCAAGGACAGAGTTCATTTGCTGTTTGGCCATCGCCTGCCCGACCATGTTTGATGCTCCATTCCCCATTATCAATATGTGTCTTGTTTGCTACTTTCGGATGTCTGGTTACCAATATGGAGAGAACAGCTGAGGGACACTTCACAGTTTGAAGTTGTGTCCAGTGTTTTCGATCGATGCGGCATTCATTCGTTCGTTCAATCTTGGTTCAACGGCTCGACTGTGCGAAGGCCTTTTAGAGTACTTTTCTCACAGAATCGCATTATGTCCCGTCTTGCTACAGGAGTACGGTATTATATTTTGTAAAAAGGCACCTGCAAGAATCATCGGTGTGGCAGAAGACCAAGTGGCAGATATCTATGAGAATTTGGGTGATGTATTCCAGCATACTGGAGATATCAAGAACGCAGAGTAAGGAAGCTGAGTCGAAAGCCCTGAATGACCGACTAAGCGAAGACCACAAAAGCTTGGAGCGATTTCCGCTTCCCAGGCAAGTTCGAAGCTTGGCAATGAATCTACAGGGAGAGGAGCACGATTCAAATTCTGTAACTTATGTAACATTTAAAACAAAAACTAGCGGCACATTCTGTCAAGCTCAGTCCGCATCTCTCAATTGGTCCTCCAACGACTTGACATCACCCAACTCCCACACTTTTAGAATCTTTCCGTTCTTGCACGTAAATTCCGATGCCCCCATCCACGAGACAGTCTTGCCCGTAGGAGCATATCCCAATAGATTTCCAGTATGTTTGCCCGTAAATCGTAGACGACAAAAGGCCTTGTTGGATTCCACGACCATGCTGTGAATCTCGCAGTGGTAGTCTGTCAGTGCTTCTCTAACAGTAGTCACCATCCGTTCAAAGCCTTCGTGTCCAACTCGGTCCATGCCGACATGCCCATTGAAACGCAAGGAAGGATGACATACTTGAGGAATCATTTCTACTTCACCCCGATTCCAAATATCCGAAATGAACTTCTTGACCAATTCGCGGGTAATTTCGATTTTGGCCATCGATTCGTCACCAAAGGACACGTTTGTCACTTCAGTTTTGGTATCATTAGTAGAAGTATCTGGTGTTCGCATGATGTTTCCATTCTTGTGTTGTTGTTGCTGCTGATGCTGTGGAGGAGGCTTTCGTTGGACAGGATTTTGTTGCTGATAAGCTTGTTCAGGGAGCGCTTCTCGCATTGCAGGTGGAGATTGTGCTCTCTGAGGTGAACTAGATATGCCAAACTCTTCCTTCTCTGCTGGAGTCAGTTTGACTTTTTGTGTCTGCATGACTTTGCGACCATTAGAGTCGATTCGTTCATGACTGATGTACTTTTCATCTCCAATAATCTTCATGATTTGTTGTTTTGGTACTGACGTTGGAGGTGGCCGTGAGACTGCAGGTGCTGCAGACATTGTCGCCGAGGGTTTGGGCGACTTTTCCTTTTTCTTCTTACTAAAGAGACCCATATTGGTAGAAGGTACCAGTTGTGACTGAATTCAATGGGGCGAACGAGTGTCTATAATGATCGATTGATGATTCGCACTCACTGTTCGATTTGCAGTCTTGTGTGGAAGAGGTTTTCATTTGTTGGAAGGTTTCTCACGCCGGCGCGGGTCGGTTCAGTCATGGACTCCGTTTTGGCTTAATGGGGAGGGAGATACAAAGTTTTGGTATATACCCCCAATATGAATCTTTGAACCATCATCATCGCCTTTAGTTGATAGTCTGATCACCATACATTGTTTCGATATACATTGAAGCCTCCAGTATCTCTCAATGGCTCGAGCTGAAAAGGAAGGGTTGCAATCATGGTGGTCGTTTGAGCGACATGAGCCAGACTGAAACAACAGCGAAAGAGTTGCGAACCACGTTCAGAAAAAAGAAACGGCTACGATAGGGTTTGAAACGGTCTCCACAGGTTGCTTTTCTACCCAAACCCCACACAAACTTTCCGTTTCAAATCCAAACTGAAATTATCCAAGTCTACTTTTCCAATCGATAGTGGAGCACACAAGTTCAGAATCTGAACCTTCTTGTTGCACTAAAATGAAATTCATCTCGACTCTCTTGTTTGCTTCTTTGGCCATCCGCAGTGCCAATGCTATCTACCTTCCAGCTACTGACTTTGGGGCAGGCTGCCTCAACTTTCAAGATGACGGAAGCTGGACCCAAGTCCCTGATTTTGTGACGAATGGTCCAGCTTTGGTTGTTCCCGAATCCCCCTTTCGATTTAGCAATGATACCAGCTTTCCGGACGAAGCAGTATGGGTGAAAGCCACTGGTGAACTCGCCGCCTCTGACAATGATTGGACTCTTGACATTTTTGACACAAGTTCTCAGAACGGTGGCACACATGAAGCTTGGTACAAGAGCAATGACCATGGCACGTTTGCTACGACTTGGCATTCGACATCTGCCAATGGCAATGAACACAACACATTTCAGATTGTAATCTCGGAGGCCATTGGGGGTGATATGGGAGAAGGAAACAACGTCTGCTTTTGCTACGGTGATATGCAGTGGGGACCAGGCGATGTTCGTATTGAATCATCTAACAATACTGATCATACTCACATCGACTTTTCGGGTGGAACTTATGAGAGCACGGCCGACGACAACTCTCTTGACCACAAGACTTGTTGCTTCCATGCCAACAAACTCAAGGAATTGGGATCCAGCGCAGACTTTGCAAGTCTCTGTCATGCCCGAGCTACTGAGGCTGCTGGTGCCAATGGGGATCCACACTTCAAGACTTGGCAAAATGAACACTTCGAGTACCATGGACAGTGCGACCTTGTCTTGACCAAAGATGCAGACTTTGCCAACGGACTTGGCATTGATGTTCACATCCGCACCAAACTAGTGAGACACTGGAGCTACATTAGGAATGCCGTTATTCGCATTGGCAATGACATTTTGGAAATTGAAGGCTCTGCTCTGGAGTTTGATTCCGACACTCACTACTGGATCAACTACGAGTCCCAAGGAGAACTCACCGAGTTTGCCGGCTTTCCCGTAACGATGTTCTCTCAACAAGGAACCAAAGTCACCAAGAATCGAATCGAGATTGACTTGGATTCCGTCTACCCAGGACAAAAGATTGTCCTTTCTACTTACAAGGAGTTTGTCAAGGTTTCTTTCGAGAATGCCAATGAGGAATCGTTTGGAAAGACTGTTGGCATTTTGGGCGATTTCAAGACTGGTAAAACTTTGGCTCGCGATGGCGTTACCGAGCTCGATGACTTTACCGAAGTCGGGCATGAATGGCAAGTCCTTCCATCGGACAAACATTTGTTCCATGAAGTCTCTGCTCCTCAATTCCCCGAAAGATGCATCGATCCCGAAGATCCACGTGGGGATCGCCGTCGTTTGGATGGATCTTCCATCAGTGAGGAGGAAGCCGAAGCTGCTTGTGCTCAACTGGAGGACAAGTTGGACCGTAAGGACTGCGTATATGACATCTTGGCCACCCAAGATTTGGACATGGCCGGAGCCTACTAATGTCAGATCTCTTCCCCATTCATGGCTGATGGGTTCTAGTTCATGAAGAAAGTCTGTTGCTTTTTAA